GGAAGCTAGCTTCCTTCTTCCTCTACCCGCCCGTTCAAAAGTTGGACCAGATGTGGATTCCTCACAGAACCAGTGGGAAGAAACTCCCCTCCCCTCCCCTCCCCTCTGCACCCCACACACTTCACACTCTCGGCACCCTCCTGGAACCCCCCCTAGTAGCCCCCAGATCCGCTGTGGGTGGAAGAATGGGTCCCCCAGGGCCAGGGTCGAGAGCTCAGGCCCAGCGTGGAGAGCTCGGGCCCAGCCCAACCCCAGAGGGAAGAGGAATCTGAGAGGGCAGAGTGGGTGGGGGGCTGGCAAATTGTTTTCTCTGCCCTCCCTGGGCACTTTTTCTGGGAAATGCCAGAGGCCGGCTGGGCCTGGAATGTCAGGCTTGAAAGAACTCTTCCACTGCAAGGACTTCCGAGCCGCAAACCTTTTCATTAGCTCTGCGGCCCCTCTGGGCGGAACAAAGGCCAGCAAACTGGAATGCCGCTTCCTGGTGGTAAGCCATTGTCCTGGTCTTGCCACCGACTCCTGCCTGCCTGCAGGGATTGTCTGAAGCAGGAAAGAGACAGATTGGGGTCAACCTGCTCCGTGACCTCTACTCGCAAACATCTGCTCCTGCCCCGCAACTGTCACTTCTGTCACTTCTGTCACGGCTACTGCCAATGAGGCCGGTCCCCACCATCAGGCCCGCTGGGGCAGGGGCTTCGGCTGAGAGCTCTGCACTGGGGCAGCCAGGGGCCAGGCTTCCGTGAGGTCAGGCAAGGCTCAGACCCCCAGCATCACTTCCCCACTGGCCTGGAGAGACAGGGCAGGAGAGAGGGGCTTCCCTGCCTCCCTCCGGTGGTGCCTCTCCTCTCACCCCCATGGCTACAGGAGAAGCTCTGGAGAGAAGGAACCAGATTGTTTCTCCCTCGCAGTGTCTCCAGGCCTTGCCAGCTAACCGGGCCAATCACTGTGAAGTTAGCGACATCAGGCCCCTGGGCAGTCAAACCCAGGCTGCACCTGGTGCCAAAGAAAGCCCACCTCGGGGCGCCTCAGGCAGCTCTGTGGTCTGAGGCACGACACCCAACCTATCTGGCGGGGCAAACAACGGTGACCTTAGCACCCGCCCCCGGGCCTGGCTGGAGGACAGGAGACCATTTCTGCAAGAATGGGATCTTAATTCACCAAGCTGTGCATAGCTTCCCGTGACCAGCCCCGGGCACCCAGCTTCCCAGAGCTGAGGTTTGGGGAAGAGCTCATGGTCCGTCACACACCATGAGTAAGTGGTGTCCCACAGGCAGCTGAAACCACGGCGTACTTCCCCTCCATCGAGAATGAATCTTTGTTATCTTTATGAGCAAGCTCCTTTGCCTGGAAATGGGATTCTGACTTCATAGAAATTCTGCAAAGGGAGAGACTCGGAAAAGGCGGGGGCCTCCCAAGTCCCCGCATCAGGAACGTGGCAGAGAAGGGCCAAGGGGCCAGACCTGGACGCCGCTGTCTCCCTCCCAGCCCCCAGCAGACGGGGACAGCGGCAGACAGATGACCTGCTCCGGTTTGGGCATCTGTCTTGCCCGGAAGTGGGTCTCCTCCCCCACCGTTCCAGCAAAACGTGAGTCCTCACACTTGCTTGGTGGCAGCTGAGCTGGCCTGCTAATCTCTACCAATCCACACACCCACTGAGCCCTGCAAGGAGGGAGAAGCCAAAAGCGACTCCAGAGGAAGGTCGGGTGGAAAACGTCAGCGTTAATAAGCCCACCGCCTCGGGCGAGGGCCCGATGAGCACTTTCTGTGGACCGAGCTCTCTGCTTACAGAGAAAGCCTCCGCAGGGGACACGGCATCAGAGCGCCGTGGTCAAGGCGGAAGGAGCTACCCTGGAAGTTCAGAGTCATGAGTGCCAAATCTTTTTTTTAATGGTAATTTTAAAATTTTTTTGTTATTATTTTATTTTTTTAATCCTCACCCGAGGACATGCCTATTGATTTTTAGAGAGAGGAAAAGGGAGGGAGAGAGAACATGGGTGTGAGAGAGAAACATTGATCAGTCCCCTCTCGTACATGCCCTGACAAGGGACAAACCCAAAACCCAGGCATGTGCTGTGACTGGGGATGGAACCTGTGACCTTCCTGTAGACAACACTCCAACCCACTGAGCCACACCGGCCACAGCTTAAGTGCCAAATCTCAAAGGGCAAATAGAAATCAGCCAAAACGTGGAGGATAATTCCACCGGGAGGAATGCAAACATGCCAAGACTGAAAAGATACATACGTGTCCCAAATGGCATGCCTTTTATGGCCATGCCCACCCCCAGCAGCCCGAGCCACCCTCCTTCCACAGAACCTTCCCCAGGCCTACACAGGAAGTCTAGCTAACATGCACGGGTCACTTAACATGCGCCAGGCACCATTCTGATCATGTGGCATGCATAGGTTCCTTTAGTCCTCACGAACGCTGGATCAGGTAGGTACTACTGTGAGCCCATTTCACAGGCACGGAAATCGAGGCACAGCTGTGGAGTAAGTGCCTAAAGCAAGACAGCTGCTGGGTGGTGCAGGCAGGGCCGCAGCCCAGCCTCCTAAGTCCAAACGCAGTGGGTGCCATGCTGTTGGCATTAGGACTCACCGTCTCAAAGGGTCTCTCCAACCAGCCTGGAACTCCCGAGCTCCAGGGCTGTTCCTTCCTCTTTACCTCCCCCCCCGCCCGCATTTCTATCTCCTCCTCCCCCAAAATGAACTCTGACAGTGTCATGGGATCAAAATCACACACGCCCCTTTCTCATGGCACTCATCACTTGGCGGGGGCATAGGGGTGGTGGTGGGGGGAGTCCTGTGCCTCTTGTCTCGCCTGACTCCCTGCAGGATTCACCCAGCCCTCTGTCTTCCCAGCACTTTGCCCCAAGCCGGGCAAAGGCAGGCACTTGGTGAGGGTTCGTGGATGGATGAATGAACCTGACTTATGTCAGAGCATCATAATTTACAAAGCACTTTCTCATCCATTAACTCAAGGGCTATTCCTTGTGAGTCTTCCCTGTCCCCCGCGAGGCTCAGCACAAAAGCGTATGGCTATGCGCAGCCTCCTGATAATCAATGGATGAGAAAAGAGAATGGCCTCCTGATTCCAGCGAGGAGAGTCCACTGCAGTGGCCTGCAAGCGTCTTGAGGGCAAAGACTGGGTCTCATTCCTCCACGGAGTTCAATGGCCCGCACAATGCCCGCTACGGCGAGCCCCCTTTTTGGAAATGTGTCGGATAAATCCATTTCCCCCTTTACAGAGACAACTAGAAGACTCCTCGCTACTGATCTCTAATAGAATCAGACGGCAGAGTTGGACTGGATTGTTTCTATTTCTAGCACACTTTGACTGATGGGAAAAGGTCACTATTCCCATTTAGCATATAGCAAAACAGAATCTCAGAGAGCCTGGGTGTCCTGCCCAGATCTCACGCAGTCCCCCCAACCTCTGCGGGGGCGACAGATGGTGGGCACATTGGCAAAGGCTGTGTGGTCCTTTGGGCTCCTCCAGAGCAAGGAGCCAGGTCTCCACATTCTAGACTCCTAAGCTGGCTGGGGTTGTAGGCAATCTCTCTGGTTCCCCCCACCCCGACTTATTATCTTCAGTTGTGTGGCAACAGGAAGAAGGCAGGGCCCAAAGCCCACAGCCCCTATGTCCTGAGAGGTGACGCTGTAATGCCACTTAAGCTGGTTCTTAGATGTCTCCTGCACCCACCCCACTGGCTGTTTGGGGACAGACTGCTAAACCTCCCATCCTCCATAAAGCTGGCCCTGGTGCGCTCAGACCACCCACACCCATGCCAGTGTGGTCACGAGCATAGTTCACCTCCGTCACACAGGACCCCAGGACCCCAATTCCAGGGAGAGACCAGAGCCCACACTCAGAGGTGGGTAGGGGCTCACTCTAGGCAGCTGTCTGGAGGCCCAACTTCTGGAAAGCACTTTCTGAAAATTCACCCCTGCCGGACTGCAAGTCCATGTTTAAGCCCAGACTGTAGTGTGGATTCTCCGCATCAGGGGCACCCTCCCCAGCTCCTGAGCTGGCCTCCCCTGGAGGGTGGGCTCTGGTTTTCCCTCCTGGGCTTTGGAGAACCGCACTGAACTCCAGGCCACCTAGGAGGCCCCAGGGCGCCCTCTGGCGGACGTGGGCCTTGGGGTGCGGCCAAAAACGCCCTCGGGCCAGCCTGGTCGCTAAAGAGCCCTTGGCCAGACCGTGTCGCAGCACCACGCGGGTTCGGAGACCAAGCTGTGCGAAAGCGGCTGTTGTCTGTTTGTGTTTGGAGGTGGGAGGCGGCACCCTTGTCAGCATGGGCAGAGAAACTGGCAGTGGGCCGTGGGCTGAGGCCGCACAGCTGCCACGCATGCCGAGTCCCCTCCACCCTGGGACCCAAGCTTCGCCTCGGGGACGTGTCCACAGGTGACTGTCGCGCGCCCCCACCCACCCCAGCTCGCAGATCCCGCCCCAGTTTCGCGGCCGGGCTCTGGGGGGTCCCCAGTTCCCTTGCGGCAGGCCGAGGCCTCCTGGGGCTGCGACCGGGACTCGTGCGCGCCGGTTGGGGGCGAGGGGGTGTCCCCCCGAGGTCCGAGAAGAAGGGAAGGGGAGCCGGGAGCCTCTCCCGCTCGGCCTCCTGGAACTGCCCGCGCTCCCGGGGCTGCACCCCCGCCTCTGCCAGAAACTAGCCTTCTTAGAAGGGAGGGGGGAAAGTGTGAATGAGAAGTTGGAGGCGGAGCGCGCGACGGGGAGGGGCCGCTGCCAGGAACGCGCAGCCAGGGCTGGCGCCGCGCCCGCCGGCCGTCCGGGCCGCTAGCGTCGCGCTTTGTCTCCGCGCGCGTCTCTGCCGGTCCCTGGCGCGGCCGGCGGCCCGCCCTCGGCCCGCGGCCCCTCCCTCGCCCCGCGGCCCCTCCCTCGCCCTTCGTTCGCAGCCTTTCATTGCTGCGAGTAGTGACTAAACATTACAAGAAGGCCGGCCACGCAGTTCCAGGAATCGGGGGGGCGGGGCGCGTCGGCCGCGTATATACCCGCGAGCGCGGCCTCCGCGGCGGCTCCGAGTCGGACTCTCTGCGCTGCCGTCGCCTCTGCCGCGACCCCGGCTCACACGCCTGCCGCCGCAGCTCGCCCCGCGGCCCCTCGCCTCTCCCCAGCCGGGTCGACCCGGGGGTGCACAGGGGGCAGGGCAGGCGCCCGGGCAAAGCCCGAGGGACGCACGCGCGAGGGCCCCTTTGTGGACTTCTCCGCCGCCAACATCTGGGCGCAGCGCGGGCCACCGCTGGCCGTCGCGCCGCCGCCTCGCCTTGGGGACCGTAGGAGGCTCAGCCCCAAGGCCGGAGACTTCAGTTTGGAATCAGGTAGGAAGGAGGGGCGCGGTGTGGAGGGGGTGGCCCTTGCCAGTCCCGGGAGCTTTTCTCGGTTTCCCCTCCCTTTCCCGGGTCTTTCCCGGCAGGGAGGGGACGAGGTAGGAGACTGAGCGGATGGAAGTCGGAAATCCCAGGTTCCCGGAATACCCGGGCTGGGGCCCTCAGGCTTCTTCTGCCCTCCCCCCGCGTACCACCCCCCCCCCACCAGTGCCTCGGATTTCTTTCTCTGTCCCCACCGCCCTGAGCCACCGGACTGAGCGGCGCCCAAAGCGTCCCGGGGCTGATCCCCACCCGGGCTATGGTCCTGGAGACCCAACTTCCGCGCCCGAGTTTCCCACTCGGCGCCCTGCCAGTGCGCGCTGGGGAAGGGGCTGCCGGCAGCACCCCCGTCGGTGGGGACGAGGGCTGGATGGGTTCCGTGGGTTGCCTGGGTAGGAACGAGGGCCCAGGCGAGGACCTCCAGGGCAGTGGGTGTCCCCGCCGCTCGGCAGAGGCAGGGGAGCTGGGGCGGGCCAGGCGCGCTGGAGGGTTCCGGGCACTCACGCGGCGCGCACCTTCTTCCCTCCAGCCCCCCGTGATGCGGTAGCGGCCGCTGTGCGGAGGCCGCCGAGCAGCTGCAGCCGCCCCCGCGCAGATCCACGCTGGCTCCGTGCGCCATGGTCACCCACAGCAAGTTTCCCGCCGCCGGGATGAGCCGCCCCCTGGACACCAGCCTGCGCCTCAAGACCTTCAGCTCCAAGAGCGAGTACCAGCTGGTGGTGAACGCAGTGCGCAAGCTGCAGGACAGCGGCTTCTACTGGAGCGCCGTGACGGGCGGCGAGGCGAACCTGCTGCTCAGCGCCGAGCCCGCCGGCACCTTCCTCATCCGCGACAGCTCGGACCGGCGCCACTTCTTCACGCTCAGCGTCAAGACCCAGTCGGGGACCAAGAACCTGCGCATCCAGTGCGAGGGGGGCAGTTTCTCTTTGCAGAGCGACCCCCGGAGCACGCAGCCCGTGCCCCGCTTCGACTGCGTGCTCAAGCTGGTGCATCACTACATGCCGCCCCCCGGCGCCCCCTCCTGCCCCTCTCCACCGACCGACCCCTCCTCCTCGCCCACCGCCGAGGGGCCAGAACAGCCGCCGGCCCAGCCTCTCCCGGGGAACGCCCCCAGGAGAGCCTATTACATCTACTCGGGGGGCGAGAAGATCCCTCTGGTGCTGAGCAGGCCCCTCTCCTCCAACGTGGCCACTCTCCAACATCTCTGTCGGAAGACCGTCAACGGCCACCTGGACTCCTACGAGAAAGTCACCCAGCTGCCCGGGCCCATTCGGGAGTTCCTGGGCCAGTACGACGCTCCACTTTAAAGAGCGAAGGGCAGGGGTCGAGAGGGGCGAGGCCTGGGTCTCCCCTCCTCCGTGGCACACGGCAGAAGCACAAGAATCCAGCCCGGAGAGTCCTGCGGCTCTGGGGGAGCCTGGGGGACGGACAGGCCCCGCCCTCGGGCCCTGCCCCCTGCCGCAAGGGGCAGAGCGGACTTGGAATGTGTTTGAGGGAAGGGGAGTGTCACCTGAGCGCTCCTCCCCCACTCCAGACTCCCGGGAGGAGCCAGGGTGGCCCGAAGGGACCACAGCAGCGACTGCGGCGGATTGATTCTCCTCTCCTCTCTGCTTCCTCGACTCCCGCGCGCTTCCAGACCAGGGACGCTGCGGGAGTGCTGAACTAGTGAGAACTGCTGGGGAATCCGCAAACTTTCCAGCGGAACTTGTTTGCTCTTTGATTTGGTTTTAAACATGGCTTTAACCCTGAGCAAGTCTCAGGCCTGGGAAAGGGGGGGACGAGAGAGAGGGCGCCTCAGGGGCCCCCCGGGGCTGCAGGTTGGCCGAGGAAATAGCCTCTCCCAGCGCCCAGCCCAGGTGAGGAGGGTGGCCACGGGCACCTCCCCTGGTTCTGGGAGAAGGCCAAGGGGTGACCTGAAGGGGACCATTCTGCCCCCTCCCCCTTGGGACAGCCACCAGGAAACACAGGCCCCGTAGAGTCTGTTGAGAGCCCAGGACCCTTGTCCCGTTTTAAGGGGGAAGGGGCATTTGGAAAGGAGATAGACAGGCCGGTCACTTCTTCCCTCACTCGGGCTCTACCTCCCAGTACCTGGGGGTTGGGGGCGGGGAGTGGAGGAGATGAGTCATCTCTGACCTCTGACCCCTGACCCCAGCCAGAGAAGATGGAGGGTTCTCCCTTGCGCCTCCTGTGTCTGGCTGGGAGATTTGCCTTAAATGCTCCCTGTCCCATGGATGGGGACTGGCACATGAGAAGCCACACACTCTGCCGGTCCAGGCAGAGGCCCCGGGGCTCCCAGAGGACCGGCAGCTGGCCGCCCACCCACCGTGGGAGGTGGGTGCAGAGAGGGACGACCCTGCCTGCCCGCCAGGCACTGGGAGGGTGCCAGCCCAGTTGGTGCTGGGCTGCCGCAGGTGCCTCAGGGTGCCTCGGCTCTGGCCGCAGCACAGCCACCAGGTCCCACACCCCCCAGGCCCTGCACAGGGCTCCCTCCTTACCTGGCTGGGGGGCATATGCAGGGAGTCATGGAGAGGCCAGGGCCCTGGGCCCCTGGAGGCCTCAGCTCGGCAATAGCACTGACCAGTGAAAACTTACAGGAATGTAGCGGGATGGGATTGCCTGGAATCGTCTTTTTGGGTGGGGGGCAACTAAACACAAAGTTTTCTGTGTCAGGTATCGTCTGGACCGGGCAGCTGTGTGTTGGGGGTGTTTTTATTTTCTGTTACTTTGTTTTGTTTTTTAATGATGTTTACAATCTGCCTCAATCGCCCTGTCTTTTATAAAGATTCCACCTCCAGCCCTCTCCCCTCCCCCCACTCAGGCCTTCAAGGCTGTTAGGAGATGCTTGAAGAACTCAACGAAATACCAATCCACGTCAAACTTTGCACATATTTATATTTATATTCAGAAAGAAACATTTCAGTAATTTATAATAAAGAGCACTATTTTTTAATGAAAAGCTGGACTGCAGCCTCTTTCCCGTCCCTTCTCTGCCTGGCTTTCTCTTTCACCCACCCCCACCCCCTGCGCCGCCCAGGGGAGGGGGGGGAGGCGCCACCCTCCGCAGCTCTGCCCCCTTGCTGCCCTGGCTTCACGTCACTTACAAGCTCTGGCAGCCACCTAGACTGTACCGAGAGGGTAATTCCTGCTAGTCTGATTCAGATCTGACCAGAATATGCAAAGCAAGTTCGAAGGAAGCGCTTCAAAGGGCTTGCAGGGAGTGAGCTGGGCTGTGGTCAAAGCTTTCAGAGTCTCAGAGCTATTAGAGGCGCTTGGCTCCTTGGCGGGGAGATGTTCCGAGAAAGCCCAGACTACTATGGGGTCCTGCTGTTGACCTGTGACCCCAGCATAGCTGGGTTCATGGGACGTGGGGGGAGGGGTAGTCCCCACACACACCCTGCAGGCAGGTGGGGCCCTTCCCAGGCGCACGGCCTCCCCACACCTCCAACTTGCCACCCAAGTCCTAGGAGCCCCCGTCCGAGCGGTGATGGGGTGCAGACCTCCCACCAAGAGCACCCATGTGTTCATCTGTTTTGCTAGTCACTCTCACTGCTCCCTCCCTCGCCCCTGGCAAGGGAGACCACCCCCTGGGCCGGTGTCATTGCCCTGCTATTCTCAGACACAGGCGAGCCTCTGTGGGAGCAGGGACTTGGCCTGGTCCCTTCTGATGCCTAGAACAGTGCTCAGCAAATATTTGCCGACTCAGCGGGGGGCAGCCACCCAGGTTCGGGGAGGTTACGCACCCTGCCCAAGGACGCGCCGTTTGGGAATTCGGGGAAGGCAGGACTGACCCCAGGAGCATTTATTCCCAAAGCCCATGCACTCCCTGCCCCCCTGAGCACTAAGTATGCGTGCAGAGTCGCCTTAGGTGGCCATCCCCTGCGAAACCAAGGGGTCAGCACCACCCCACGGCCAGCACTCTGGGGTGTCAGCGCTAGGGCTGTCTGTCCCCCTCCAAACGCCAGGACCTAACAGCTGGAGGGTCCCTGTGTCCTGGAGTCCCGGCTGAGCCCCATCTCTGAGCCACCACTGCCTGAAGCAAAGGTCAGGCCCCGAAAAGCTGCTTCATGAATCAGTGTCCAAAAGGCAACGGAGAGAGTAAATCAACAGCCGTTTTCTGTCCCCTTTCCTGACCTTTGGAGGAAAGTAACCCAAAGGGAGAGTCATGGCCAGGCCGGGCGTGAGACTGCTGAGCAGATTGTGTATGAACCACGCCAGACAGACCACCTTTCTGATAAGGTCACCTTCCCAGAGCACCCCCCATACCCCATCCCATTGGGGCCCAGCTCCCCGGTGCCTCCCAGGCGGATGAGAGAGCCTGGAAAGTTCCAGCAGGTTCTCCCCCCGACCTTGGGCCTGCCAGTCAGACACCACCTGTACCCCAAAGCACCCAGAACCCAGAGAGGAGACAGCAAATCTCCGTCCTGGCCCAGAAGGCAGCTGCTTAGCCAGGGTGTCCAGTGTTCATGGGACCCTAACAGAAGGGAGTGGTGGCCTTCTCTGGCCCCAGAGGAAGTGGCTCTTCCTGACCCCTGCTGCATGCAGAGGCTGGAAGCCCCCTAACTCCCTTTCCTTCGTGCCTACTCCAGCCTTCTTCCCTTCTCTTACTCTGTCTCCCTCCATTTTTCAGGCCACGGCCTAGGCCAACCCTCTGATTTTGCACACAAGGAGACAGCCCCGGAGAAGGGAAGCAACTTGCTTCAGCCCCCGGAGCGAGCTAGTGGCCACAGTAGAGCAGGAGTCCCTCCCTGAGCTTGTCTGCTAGGCAGGGCTCCTTCACCTCTCCCTCCTCCTCCCACTCTCCTGCGGCAACTCTCTCTGCGCCTCCCAGTTCTTTCAGGTGCACACACCTCTCCTCCGAAGGACTTAATGGGGGGCCCTCCGTCCTGATGTCAGAGGCAGGGTGCCCCCGGTTCCCACATTTGCTGAGAAGCGTCCTGCAGGGACGTGGGGACAATTCCGTGGTTTCGGCAGGTACCCATGCCTTAGGGGCGTTAGCGACAGCATGGCTGGGGTCCCCTGGCCCACAGAAAGTGGAGAGGTGGTGCTCCCAGGCCCTGTTCCCTACCTACTTTTGGCGCTGTAAGAATCCACCCCCAAGAGGCCCAATCCTCTCTCCAGTGGGGCTGTTTGGGGGTAGGCCTCCTGATGAGTTAGAGCCGGGAATGGGAACTCCTGCTGCGGAGGGAGGGAGGCCCCAGGCAGGGGAGCTGGAGATGGAAAATATGCCCGCACTAGTCTTAAGTAGTAAGGGTGTTTGGGAGGGGGCGCCGCCGGGGTACCAGGGAGAGAGGCGGGGAGAGACAGCCAGCCGCACAGGGAGGCGAAGCGGAGACGGGAGCCTGCAAGGCGGGGCGGGGGGTAACGGGCACCGGAGCGGACGGGGAAGACCAAGGCCGAGGGTGGGAAGGGCCGAGGCCGGGGCGCACCTTCCCGTGCCGCGTCCCTCCCCCTCCCGTTCTGGGCGGCCGCGTCGCTCCAAGGCCGCCCTCCGCCAGGAAGAGTCACTTCCAGGGCATCGCGGCATCCCTGGCGGAGATGGGCGAAGAGTGTTGACGCCGAGCCGCGGCGGGGACACCTCCCGGCCCCGCACCGCAGCCACTACAGCTAGGGACACCGCCGACTGGGCCGCCACCGCCGCCCAGCCGAGCCTGCGCGCGGGAGAGGCCCCGCCCCCGCGCCGCCGCAAAGCGTGGTCACTATGGCGACGGGATTACGGGCGCACAGGGCTGTTTATTCTCAGCCCAGTGCCAGGAAATTCAACCGGGAGGCTGCCAGGCGCGCCTCCCTCGGGTGGGGGGCGGGAGAGGGAGCAGAGAGGGTGGGCCGGCGTGCCCGGGCTCCTGGGGGAAGGGCGTCCTTTTGTCACTGGGGGACCCTGACCCTTCTGAGGGGGTTGCTGCTCAGAAAGCACGCACTGGTTCGGGCCAGGAGTGGATCAAGTTCCCTGGTCCCAGGGGAGCCAGGCTTCCCCTCCGGCCAGCAGCGGCCGCCCCTCCCCGCTCCCCAACCCCCGCATCCAGGGACCCTGTTGCGGCAGCCCCCAGCCCTGCCTTTCAGTCCACCATCCACTCGCCCTGCGTGTCTGGGGATGGAGTGAGGATCAAGACAAGGCCCTGCCCACCCTGCTTTCCTGAGATGGCGTGGGAGTAACAGACGATACAGTAACAGTAAATAGACACAAAAATGGGGACTGGTGTCCGTGCCGAGAGGTGCACTTTTGACTCACATTTCCGGCATATCGCGCACTGGCAATGTCCTCCCGCCCTCAGGTAGGATGACCAGCCTGTCCTGGTTTGTCCAGCCCCATCCCAGTGTAGAGTTGAAAATCAGGACAGGTAATCGCCCTACCCCCGGGGGACAGAACACATCCATTTCAAAGATGGAGAAACTGAGGCCTGAAATACAAGGCGGTTCTCCCAGGGCCCGGGCGCTAGTCAGATAGAGCGGCAAGTCCTAAGTGAGAACCTAGGGCTCTTTCGGCTGTGAGCCCTTCCCCTGCCCCACCCCCGGGGCGATGCCCCTGAAGGCACCGGGACACTTGCAGGCCCCAGGGGAGTAGGCGAAATGACTGAGACCCAACTCCCCACCCAGCTCTTCTGAATCAGAAGCCCCGGGACAGTCCAGGAATGTCAACAGCGCAGGAGGTGACTCCCAGACCACTGCTGCCTTCGGGGAAGACAGGCCTGGGTCCTCCTCTCTTCCTCCTTGAACCTTGACTAAGCTGAGCTGGGAAGTCAGCAGGGAGGGAAGGCCCGAGGTCATCTCCTGGGCTGCTGCGGCAAGCATAGACAAGTGCAGCCGTTCCCCGTCCCGAGGACGCCCCCCCCCCCCCCCCCCGCCAGCTGAGCCCTCCCAGCTGTGCGGTGCTGGGCCCAGGCCAGGCATTTGTGAAATCCTCGGTGCGCCTGACGCACCGTCATGCGGCCTGCCTGTGGAAGCGGGAGGGGGTGGGGGCGGGGGGCTGTTCCCAGAAGCAGGGAGAACTCTGGACTTCCCACTCCTGAGCGATCCGATTGCAGCACAGCCTTAAGCAACAGGGGTGGCCTGGGAAGCTGTGTGGCGGGGAGAATGGGAGCACCCCTATCACCACCAGCACCAGCTCCTTCTGTAAAGAAGCCAGGGCTTCATGCAGCCCTCAGGGCTACCATCAGGTAGGATGGGCCAGCAGACCCAGTCGCAGAAAGAGGATGGGAACCTAGACTTCAAAAATAAATACATACACACAAGGTTATATTCAGAAGCAAACTGCGCCCCCCCCAAAACCCAGGATGCAAGTTAGTTATTTACATTACACAAGAAAATGTATTTCCTTTCTTTCCCCTCCCTTCCCCCAAATCTCAAATCTCCCTTTCAAACAGAAAACATTACTTAGGAGGATCTATAATGTACAGGATATTGAAGGTAATGCATCAACCATGAGGCCTTGGTCCTCAGGGGTGGGGAGGCGCCGTATCGCACAACCACAGGGGGCGCCATTTAGAATATCGTCTTCAGGGTGCGTTGGCAGCGCCTGAGGCTTGCCTTCGCAGCGCCCCAGGGGATGCCCATGCAGGTAGGAACCCTGTGCTGGCCGCTGGGCTCCAGGGGCTCCCGCTTTCCAGCGGGAAAGCCGACAAGAAAACCAAGAAGTATCCTAAAAAGGAACGGGTATAAAAATAAAGCAGCACGCAGGGTACAGCTGGGGTGGGGGGATGACCTGCGGTGGCTTCCCAGAAGAGGTGACTCTCTCCAGCTGAGGCGAAACAGCAGGTGTTCTCTTGGCAGGCGTGGGACAGCGGGGCACTCTAATGACCAGAAACAGGGAAATGGCCCGGAAAAGGGAAAACACTTTGGGGAACTGCAAGAAGTGCAGCATGTCCCCATCGGGCACGGCCATGCCAGGCTCATCTTCTAAAAATACTGCTTTTATCACGTCACACACGCAGCTCGTCCCCACGGGACCCGCGGCGGCTCCGC